TCTTTCCTATTTCATGTCAAAAGACTTTCAAAATTTTCCTTAGTTACTAATGAGATTTAGAGTCTCAACCAGATTTTGATTCATCACTCACACAGTGGATGTTGAGCTAGCTGCTTCAAATGACTCCAGGCAGAACAATTTAATATAAACTGTTGCAGCAACTGAATTTTTTTTTCGGTAACCTTTGTTTGCAATAAATTTCAGCACTTCCGCCATGTAGTTCAAAACATCTAAAAAGACTTCGATTTCTTATTTTTTTATATACTAGGAAAAAAGTTCCTTAAACACTTCCTTTGTAGGGCTAGAGTTGAAGTCTATTGACTTTAAAAATCAAATCCATAGTTAAAAAAAAACAAACAAAAACAACCAAACCAAAACAACTTTTTTCCCCTATCTCTAAGATCACAAGTGTAACTAGCTCAGGATGTTACAATATTAAAAAACATTGTGAAAAGTAACAGAACAAGTTGACACACTTTCAAATGTGACATTTAGAACAGCAATATTGCTTTTCCAATTTTTAACTCTTGAATAAAAAAAAACAACTGAAGTATTTCCTGAAAATTTTGGTCAAACTTGCTTTCATGTTTGCAAAGTTGAAAGAATATACAGCTAAAGAATGCCTGAAGCGCTCATGCTGATGTTTGAAATTTTTTATAAAGCCTTCTCATGTAACATTCACATTGTAATCTGAAATTTTTACATTTATCACCATAGCCGCAGTATGACTTTCAATTAACAAGCAAAGTTAAAAACCCATGGTTTTTAGACCATAAAGTTACAATTACAAATACTTGAAACTAAGAGACAAAACGACCCATTGTGCTGAGATCGTAACAGTTTTATTCACAAAATAAACAGCTTCCTCTTTCCAAAGGAAGAATTTAACAGAAAGACTCAATGCAATAGTTATAAAAAAGTGGTACTGAAAATTTGAAAAAGTCTGGTAAAATTTACAAATGCAAACTATCACTTTGTACAAAATCTTTTTTTAAAGAAAGTTCAGTAATAGATTTTAAAATACAGTTTTAACAGCTCAGAAATGCACATTTATTTCAAACTCTGGTTAGGTATTATTTTCGTCTGTGTGGGGAATTCTCCCTTCTTCTGTCCTCGTTCTTTCTGGATTCTCTGTACTGGTCAGAAGAACGGCTGTACTTCTCTCGGTGTTTCTCTGAACCATTTCTGTATCTGTCTTCCTGTTCCTCCTCTCTCGGACTTGAATTATTATGGGCTCTCTCTCTGGATTTTGATCTTTCTCTTTTTCTACTGCGATGTCCATTATCTTTGCTCCAGTGTCTGTAATTTTCATCATCAGACAAAGAAGCTCTTCTCTCTGCTTTCTTTGGTTTTGAATTACGGTGTTTATTTTCTAGATCCTTACTTCTTTCATGGTTCCTATCCTTTCCACTATGGTAACCATCTCTGCCATTGGACTCATCTCTGTGGTGATATTTTGATACATCATCTCTCCTGTGTGATTCTCTCACATTTCGGTGATTTCTTTCCGATTTGCTGTCAGTATCACTTCTTTCCTCTTGCTGCCTCCTTCCCATTTCCTTTTCAAGTGATCTCCTTTTCCTTTCTTGTTTTTTCCTGGAAACTTTATCAGATTCTCTATTTTTCTTTTGCATTCTCTTTCTTTTGGCTTTAGGAACATCTGAAATTATAACAAAATTATGGGAATAAGGCTGCATTTTAATTTATTATGCTTAACTTGTTAAACTACATTGAAAGTTCTAGAGAGTTATTTTTTGTCAGAAAACTTTTCTGGGTATGTATCTGGACAAAGATTTCAAAACAATCAGCTTTGATTTTACTGCTTCCCCTCACCCCCAACTGAGCATCTCGCGCAATGGGGGAAAATTCACCCATTCTTTAATTGAGCAGGTACTGGTTATTTTTGAATGTCAGTCTGCATTACAAGCTTTTTATTTTGAAATTCTATGTACTGACAAAACTCCACAACCTTGCTTCCCCTCCCTGCCCCTGGTTAATTGCTTAAGAGGCAACAACTCAAATTTGTACAGATGTGGCTGCCACTCATGAGTATCCATCAGCAGGGCTTTTATGCCATACCTATCTGCACGTGATGCCTGACTTTTGAGAACCTCTACCCATCACCAGCCTCTTGTTGACTTGATACAAAAAGACCAGGCATAGACTGTAAAGTCGTATGTCAGAGCACTCTCACAAGTAATTTTTTTAGAAAGATCACCTTTCCCAGACCATCCAGTCTCTTAAAATCATTAGCTTTTCCAATTACTTCCTGGAAAAGCTTATCAGCCAATCAAGATTAAAAACAGCAGATGGGGAAAAATCTCCAACACTATCCTATGAGGAAACAGAGGCATGCTGAAATGGCTTGAGATAGTGGTATGGCAGCAACATAACAATGTCCCTCTGTTTCATTTTCAGGAGAAATAGTGACAGCTTTGTCAACAATTTAAGATAAAAACTTGTGTATTTCTAAATACACACTAGTGCTCATCTCAGTGGAAGAGGCCTTGCTCTTCCTGTTTGCTCTTTTATAAGGAACCTCTAGATTTCACTCGACAGTATTTATCAGTAAACACTGAAGTTACAGCCATTTAGAATAACTATTAATTCACTTTATTGTATGAACTACAGTATCATATCAGGTAACTGTTTCTAATCACTTTTTGAAAATACCAGCCATAAATTGATTTAATAGTACATCAAGTATCGGAGTTCTACAGCAGCTGGCTAGTCTCATGTCTGAACTAAGGCTTCCTGGCATTCTGGTAAAATGTTATGATGGATCACTTCAGATAGATTTTAGTACATTGAGTTTTTAAAATAGTATTTTCCCTATTTTACATCCACCAGAATGCAGAAAGACCTGAGAAAGTAAATACAAAGGAAAGCTGCTTTGATAACAGACAAAAATTTTGTCCTGTGCTGGTCTTGTTTTGGTTGGAATGACCTCTCCAGAGCACTGCTGAGCTAGCTGAAGTTCCACACATTAACTCTCTTACTGACAGTAATCTCTCATTTAGCTCTACGCTCAATTTCTAATCAGCAGTTTTTCTATCTTCTCTTATATACTGCACTGTTAAAACACTGACATACTGCAACACATTTCTCTAAGAATGTATCTAAACACTACCAAGTTAATTTAAAGATTTAAAAAGCTTCAAACACAGGAAGCCTTGGAATTATAACCAGTAATGGACCTCAACCAAGTTTACTGTTAAAGAATATAGGTATCTCCAATTAGTGTTCTGACCGCTGTATTTAAGTACACAAGAACCAGGAAAAAAAAAAGTGAAACCAGGCTGCAAAGATATCAAAATGCAAGTTTTAATGAATGTGCTCCTGGATGGAGAAAGGACAAGTAGTAAAAGGGAGGGTCCTAAACTTACAAAAATGAAGTGTGCAGACTGCAGACTCAGTTGGTTTGTCACCAAGGACTTACTTCTCTGGTTCCCATCAAGCAGCTCAGCAGAGCTGCAGCTGTCTAGGCAGGAGCCATCTGGCTCTTTGCTGAACTAACACCTCCTCTGACCCTGTTTAACTCTGCCCTCCTCCAGTGCTTTGTCGTCATTAATGTAATGACACACAAATCAGACTTCGTACAGTAAGATTGCAATGGACAACAAAAATGCATTTCCAAAGCATGAGCAGTTCACACCGCTTTTATTTTATTAAACAACATTTTTATTTTGAAGGCACGTAATAAATAAAATTAACTTTGAATCAGCAAGCTTCTGTACTATAGAAAGTCATGCTGTGTTATCATCTGCTCACATTATATACAATGGGGGAGAAGGCACACACTAACTCATACTAGCATATACTTTACAGATTAAGCAACGTTTATGACACTTCATGTCAAATAGAAGGTTCTACACCAGCAGGATGGTATAAAACACTAATTATAATGCATAAAACTACAAAATACTAAGTTGTCAGCAAAAGCTAATTCTTCCTTGGAGATTTCTCTACAGACAAGAACCTTCACTATTATCACCACACAAACTCTTCCTGAGGAAGAGGAATTAGAAATGGAGACTTGGAAGGAGAATAATTCAGCTAGAACTGAACAATGTAATTTCTGACCCATGAAGAGGCACATATTTACAGGGAAGGACACAAGTAGTATCAAGCTCACACAATCAAGCCAAGCCAAAAAAAAGAAGTTGTAGACATTAGCCTCTACAGTTCACCAGTAAGCATCCTGCAGATATTAATAGGGAAGGACTCTAATCCCTCCATCCTCCACTAAACTCAAGTGATAGTACTGTGCAACAGGTATCAGCTGTATAAAGAAGTAATCTACAAAACAATGTTCCTCAGATATTTAAGTCTCTAAAAATGGAACTCAGTTTTTCTAAATTCTAGAATAGATTTCCATGAGCAATATTTAGTATTTTAAAACTTGTAAGTTTAAAAAAATTCATTAGTTTTTAAAGCACAGAAACCAACACTGTCTATAGTTAGTTTTTCCTCAAAACAAGTATACATAGAAATAAATAGGCATATAGAAATAAATAAAAGAGAAGTAAATAGCTATAGCTAGTGTTTAGGTACCTGAGTCACTGCTGGTGCCACTGCTAGATGAGGAGTCACTGCTGCTGGATGACTCTGAGCTACTACTGCTGCTGTCAGAATCAGAATCTGAGGAAGAGTCTGTCTCTGAAGACGAAGAAGAATCTGATGACTCAACATCTTGTTTCTGTGTCATTATCATCTTTGGTGCATTTTTAAGATGCTCCCGTAATTCATCCCTAATTAACAAAAAAATGTTTTTCAATTTTTTTTTTG